ATTTGGGGGAGGGGGGCTGGAGAGATGGCTCAGCAATTGGTCAACAGCACTGATTGCTCTTGCAGAGGACCCGGGTTTGATTCCCAGCACCCACATGGTAGCTAAGAACTGTCCTTAACTCCAGTTCCAGCAGAATCCAATGCCCTCTTCTGACCTCCACGGCACCAGTGCATTCACATATGTGCAGGCAGTACACTCATACACACAAAATAAAACGAAAAAATAAAATAAATTTTTAGACAAACTCAATTTAACCTTTACTTAAATTTCGAAGTACTTGATCTAATCCATTACAAAGACTTATTAAAATAAAATATATGTTTTATCAAGGTATATTCAAGAACAATTAGGCTTACTAAATGTTATACAGAACTTCAAAGTACAAGACGAATGTGACTAACCTAGGTATTCAAAACCATATCAGACTTCACTCTCTTGCTATGTCCCTCTAAACTACCATATTATTGTTATTGATTGAAAAGTTTTTTTAATTGCCATTTCTGTGCCTTTTAATAATTAGGCACCTATGTCACATTTTTAAATGTAAAGTTCTCCCTCAAGGCATAATCAATGGCCCACCTTCTGGCCATATTAGTTATATAAGGCAATACACCTTATTAAAAAATTCTTAATGCTTATATATTTCATTTTATGGATAATATCTCACTAGCTTCCTGTAAATTTTGAAAAACTTACAAGCTTCATTTATTTATCACTAACTCCAGACAAAATTCAACTAAATATTATTAATAAAATTTCTGTTCCAAAAATATTAACATTAAATTCTCTTCAATAGGGGGCTGGATGGATAGATAGCTCAGCAGGTAAGACTTTCAAAGAACCTGGCTTCCAGGACAGGTGGCTAACAACCATCTGAAACTCCAGTTCCAGGGGATCACACACCCTCTTCTGACCTCCCTGGGCATTGGACAACACAGGTGCACTTATACACATACATGCAGGCAATACACTCATACACATAAAAAAATAATAAAAACAAAATAAATTCTCTTTAATAGCAGCTCGTTATCAGTGGACTTCAGTCTTCCCTCAGAATTCCCAATATGGCTTTTTCTCACATTTTTTTTCTCTTGAAGGAAACTAATCACTCCTCTTGC